GGAACGGATGCACTAGTCCGCGAGTCAAACTTCCTCCTAACTCTTGTGTACAGAATATATTGTTCCTAACACTGGCCTTTCGGCCGTCTTCTCTGCTCTCCTAAGGAACCGGGCCTGGAAGATAGCAGCCGTTAGGGTTAAACCTGAATAGCCTTAAATCAATGCAATAGGTGCCCCACAGAACGGGGACGCACTTGCTGCTAGAGGGGACCGTTCTTTGAACTTAATGGCATGTTCTGCAAACAAATTTCTATGTTTAACCTGAAAAGTTTATTTGGCGAGCTGTTCTCAAAGAACGTTTTACGCGATGCATAAAAAATATGCAGTTGTTCTGCAACGGCCGGTTCCACAGACAGATTGACCGTGTGGTGATGGCGTACGTTTGACTAACGTGAAGTGGGCGTGAATGCGTAAACGTCACGCGAGGGTGGTTCACTGGCCGCTTGTACAACTGTTTGGCCGATAGCAGTTTGCGGGACCTCATATTGGTTGTCCTAGAGGCAGGCTGATAACTTCAATCACGTGACTCCTTGCGTGGCGCGTCACCGAAGATGGAAAGCGCTACAAAGAAACCAATGCAAGCCAAGTGTCCAGCTACATACGGGGGAAAAGAGACATTGCTGGGCTAACGTAAACACTTAGTCTATGCTCATCATCCCCGGTAGAGGAAGAAGGAGAAGACTGCAAGACTCCTGAAACCGTTCAGGATCGGCGTGGCCCACAAACCGGCACTAACCATCAGGCAGCGAGTTATGAAGCCCAAGGATCCGTTACCAATGACAGAAGAATCTGCGGGGGTCTACAACATCCCATGCAAAAACTGTGAAGTAAGGTAGGTCGGTGAAATGGGCAAACGTCTTGGTAGGATGTTTCATGAGCACCAGCTGGCAATTAACCGCCAACGGGCGAGCGTACGCACGTGCATCGGGCACGGCTAAAACACGAAGCTGACGCTGAGGCGCACTAATTCGAGGCCAGCGGAAGAGCAAGCACTACGCTCTGATGATGGAAACGACAATGAGTTCGAAACGCCAGCATAAATAAAATGTTGCCCCAGAAATTTCTCCATCTCTTTCCTCTTCCACGTGCACGTTTTTAAGTGTCGAAAAACGACACTTAAAAACGTGCACGTACTTTTTTGCTACCCGCTCAATCTACCTTCTCCGC